TCTACCCGTCATGGATTCGATCCACAGTAGCGGACCGATGGAATGCGCACCACTGAGGAGCCGCAATAGGGTGAAACGCGTCTGGAGCTTTTCCGGTAAATGTTGTGCTATGTAGCTTGTGAACTCTCGGGATGAATACTTTACGAATATTGCAACTAAAATATATATGTTAATGCCTACGGCTATGCCGACGTATCTCTGCATTAAATTAGCATACGAAGTAAATTGGTTAGCAACGAATCCGCAATAAGTACAAAATGTTTAGCAGTTGTTAAGAAATGTCACGTCCGCGATAAAATTAACGAAGATAACTACAATTAGCGTAAACAACGAGTGCAAGTTAATAGCAAATTATTCAGACAGGTTGAACAAACCAAATAGGATGGAGTGAAGTTTATCCAGCTTATAAAGACTTGGATTAAGGGTAAGTTGGTTTAGCCCAACAGCGTGGAACGAGAATCATGAATGCAGCATCACCCACAATGGTTAGGTCACTGAAAGTTGCTGGAAAACATTGCTCCTGTAACTCTGGGAACGGATTCGGTTCCAAACTATAAATGACTGCTTTATCGCGCAGATCAGATATTAATAATCTGCTCCATAGTTACTCGGTCTGTTGAACCTTATGCGAGCGCCTAGCTACAATCCAAAAGAGATTGTAGCTGTTTTTCGCTGTTAGGATAAAATGATGGTAAGTAGTGATTTGCGCCTTTGTGGGAATTGTCTTAAACTATTTTCCCCCTTTTATCGGACAATCCCTAGGGAAGCTTCGCATCAGTCAACTAATTGTGTTGGGTTGTGGAAGGGTCTTGTTTTTGTTCCATACAAACACTTCGTTATCTTAACTGAAAATTTAGACAAAGAAGTGTCTCCAGTCGAGCATATGGTATACAGTAATGATTCTGCATCAACTGCATGGTATTTGCAGTTTGAAACTGAAGCGCCAATAGATTCTCGACTCATAGTGACAGAGTAATGAACTGCAATTCTTTGAAGTGACTTTGATTTCAACACGACGGTCTTGGTTCATCCTCGTATAGCTGCTTTACACTCAATGCCTGTCAATACTCTACTATTGTTTAGTGAGTTTTGTGTCGGCACCAGAGTGCCGTCGTCTTATCCGCTTGCATCTCGCAAACTCACCATTATAAACTTTACTATAATCGACATTAATCACATTTTGACAGTATGCTTACGTTATGTTCAGCATTCAATAACCCTATGGGAGGATGGAATGCAGGATTGCTGCCAGTGCGATTGTGCATGAAATTCAGTTGGTGACCGTTCTGCCATTTCATGCATGTCGATTGATCGGCATCGCCTTTCATACCGAGTAAATTATTATCCACCTCTTCGGGTTGGTTCATGTGGCATCTAGATTTTTTCCGAGGTATCTTGGAGCGTGTTTCAGTGAACACATCAAAATGCGGATCACTGCCATCAACTGAAGAACACAGTTCGATATTTGTCCGTGGCGTCGTAGAGCCGCAAGCCTTCGATTAATGTGAGAACCAAGTCAATGATGAGCAGAATGGCGCTACCTTATGCAGGCCGCCTCACTCGATAATCTGGTTACTAAATCGATCACAAGCTACTCATATGATCAAATACAAAGGATGTAGCCCCAAGGTGATGAAAATTTTGCCCCCGTTCAAAAGTATGGCGGCGAGCGCGACTGCAAAGTGACACAGAGACGTAAAAAGATCCTTTCAGCATAACTCCTAAAGACGTTAAGCATCAGACCTAGGTTGACGGATGGAGTGCAACGTCCCTGGCAGTAAGTTTAACTTCAGGAACGGACCACTATGGCGCACAAGCATTTATTTACGTAGCAAGGGTTTCGGCACTTAGTAATCAAATCGGAGCTCTATTGTTCGAGAGTCCCTGATCGAGGCTCTTCTACGCCACCCACTACACTCTACTCAACAACGCACTGATGATGTCACAGCGACTGGTGATCAAACTTCTGCAGCGGAATCACCAAGCTCAGCGAAAGATGCATCTGTTAGAAGAAAATCCTGAGCAACCAATTTTCACTTTCGTTTTAGCCACTTTTTATGCCAGATGTCCTATTCTCATGGGTCAGCGAAAGGTTGAACCTGACGTTAAAACTCTTAGATTCGCTTCCGGCATTTGGCTCACCATTCTGTACATAGTCTGTTACACATGGACTCTTAAGCTAAGTGTCTGAGCTTCAATCTCGACATACATTGGTGGCTTTGGAATTGCTATTTATAACGGAGACATAGATGCACGATTAAATCTCTGATGTGAGCTTTCTACGATGCCATTTGGGGGGAATTCGTCAGAAATTTTAGCAAGTAAGTAGAGAAATCGTCGGAGATTGGAATCCTTATCTAAAGGAGGGCAAATTCCTCCCTGAAGAGCAGGATGCGGAAACAAATGAACATTTGGAGCTCTCTTTGGTGAGCATTCGAAGCCAATGCATAGAACAAAAACGAAACTGTTGTAATGCCGAGCGAAAGCATTGCGTTAACCTAGTTTGCAAGGACAAATGAAAGCACCAACAGCATTTCTCGAAGACCTTAAGCTGCAATCCTAAGCTATTTTCCATATATGTTAACAAGCTTCTCAGAGCACAGCAACGCATCCCTCCTCTAAACACCACATATGGACAAGCGCAAACTGCCAAAGAAGCCGCTAATGCTCTTAAACATCAATATGTTTGCACTCTCCAAGACACACCGGATTCTCATGCCATTCTCACACATATTACATCACTGCCAAGACTTAGCAACATCTTATTCGCAACCGCGGATGTGCTGAAACGACTGGTATCATTACGCGAGTGCAGTTTGCCTGGTCCAGACAACGAACGCCCGAAGTCATTGAATGTGACTACCACTTGCCTGGCTGAACCGTTTTCTAGGGTACCCCCAGCGCTATCTCGACAAGATGTGAGTCCTAACCATGTGGACTAGCGCTCTAAATTTACAAGGAAAAATTGTGCCGTCTTCGTAATCTACCACGCAATACCTCTTCTTCCGGTGCTTACTAACCTGTGGTTGCAGGAAGGTGCACTACGACGATACAGGAGCAGCACTGCTTCCGCTGGAGCCTAGTATACACCTCATACACCAGGAAACTTTTGTTAGACCTCACTAGATTGACAGAATCCTTCCATGTTGCGTAAGAAGTTGATGCCTTGATTCATCCTAGCGTTTTGATTATCCAGACCAGAGGTAACCCAACTACTGCGCCCGGCTCTAATCCGGTTACTAAGAAATAAAAAGTGGACGCCCTAGTGTCTCCTCGCCTTACATTTCCCCAGCCTTCATTCTAGATTGCATTATTCTGAATGAACCACTTTTTAAGCTATCCAATCCGTACTAGTTATTTTTCTTGTTATCTGGCTCGCAGGGGAAAAATTGTGATGACCTTGGTCTAAACCAACATATTATTCAAAACAAGCCTCGCCGCTGTACGATCGGGGACGGTAACTTCAGCTACATAATAGGATTCCTGCTACAAGGTCCTTTAGATATATATGTGCCACATGAATGTGTGTACCTAGTTGAAGTGCAAGGGGGTGTGCCCCAAAGCCCAATACCATGACCAAGGTTAGTCCCAGTGTACAAAAACGACGTCCAAGTAGTACTGACCCCTGGCTTTTTATCTTTGCGGACAGCTTCAAGCTACTAGAAGCGATTAAGTGACTAGACCGACACACCGCTTTGTAAGTTGTTCTCTACAGATATTAAGTGTGGTGACCTCAGAACACATTTGAGTTTAACGCTGGCAAAAGTAAAACGAGAAGTAGATACCACCAGGGAATTTACGGATAACGGCTAGGAGAACAAATTATACAGTGCATTTCCCCTGAAAGTGGTCTTGGAATGCTAGGGCATAAAGATCTCGCGTGCTCAACACAGGTCAAGGAAGCATTGATTAAAAACAACCAACACTTAGACCTGCTGCGGATGATATTTGACCGGTTTTATCCTACCTTAATTTTCACAAATACTCAATGCCAAGTGTGGCTACATGTCAAACGCCCAACCGAGCTGTGGCACTCTTGACAAAAAAATGACCTCACTGCTCAAACTTCAGTGTGTTGTGTACGCAATCTCTGAAGTATATGTATAAACTCATAACATCTAAACTCAGAGAGACAAGCATCACCAGCCGGAAAAGCACTGTACGGCCGTTTTATCCTTTTGGGAATCGTCAGCAGTGTGCATTCCATCTGACCAGTGTAGTGCTCGAAACCGCAACTTGACTGTTGCCATTGAAATCCCCACTACTGATTTTTTTTAGCAGCACGCACACCAGACTAGTTATAATTCCTTAAGGTAGATGGTGGTTTAATTTTGCTAAATTCATCGTGTTGAGTGGCTACCATATCTTTTGCCTGGTAGCAACGTGCAAGTACATGGATAGTGAGCGGCGCTATATCACATCTAGTAACTTTGTCACCATGTTCGTTGCCGTCCTCCGTAGCTCAGTGGTCTCAACCACGCGCTGGCAAACGGTCGATTTGCGGGTTCGAGCCCTAGAAGGATCAGAAAGAATGTGCACTGCTGCAGGTTCCAGAAAGGATGAAATGGCCGTACAGTGCATTTCCGCACTGTGACAGCCCTCTGACTGAGCCTAGATATAATAAATATCTAGGTATACCATTCAACTCTCTTACGAATCCTTTGTAATCTACGAACTAGTTTCAGTATTGTAACATGCCAAATGTATTTTCTGGAGGCTGTTTATTGCTACGCAATTCAAAAGAAAAAAGTAACCGCCAGATATATTCGATGGATTACCGGTACATTGTCTGAATTGCATAGTCGGTATATCATCGACGAGTCGCAGAGTTGCTTTCAATCGCATAAGTTCACAGGCGCTTTGCAATCCAACTGGCCAAATTTTAAAACAAGGAAAGAGTTTTAATACACTTGTACAGCTACCACCAATCTGCCTCTGTGTCTGTTTCTTGGCCAAAATAACACGGACAATGTGTTTGTTAACTCACCATCGCGACTTACATCTTATGGGTTTATCTCCGTAAGTGAAGGCCGAGAGAGCAGACCAGTTCTGCAACGCAAAGTTATTCTTGATCCAGAGCAAGCTGAGCAGCGCCAGCACGACCGCGTGGCTGAACATCTTGAGATCGTGCTTCAATTAAGCATATATACATATATATATATATATATATATATATATATAACCACTAGATGGACGGACTGTTTAGTTAACCAATTGGTTGAATGCAGGCATTTTATTTACTTGTGGTACCAATGTTCTCCGCGGGTGGCAAAGAGCACATGGTTCGTACGAACATCAACCGGGGAAAAAAACATTCAACGACGCCAAGCACCCGCATATGGCTTACGTTTATACAACTTACGCAAACTGCGTGTGTGTTTGAATTCCATCTTGTGAATCATCACTAGGATCAGTGGCGCCATATCTCGCGTTCATAGTACAAACGGTACGTTCATAAACTGCAATCGCACGACCGACCTAAGCTACAGTGGCGTCTTTAGAGTTGGGCTTACCTGAGTTGTATTCATCGTAAGACTAAACACCATCTCAGTGAAATGATTAGTGATCGGCTGCAGCGGAGAACAAGGAGAGTATGGGATACCCAGTGATCAGTGGCGCCCATTGTCTGTTGACTAATGGTTAGTGTTTAAATGGTAGGTCTCTAATGTTGAACATGATCAATGACAACATAGCCGTTTACGATCCCAAGGTTACACGTTGCATGGCCCTATTCAGCAAGATGTGCACCGAAATTGTGTGCTGGTGGCCATTAGTAAAATTCTGGATGGCCGGCGGGAAAATGGCCAGTGAATGTGTTATTAGTATGGAAGATTGTAATTGATAAATTTTTTTCGCCGCTAGAGATGAAACTGTCAGAACAGATAAATGGCAGGAAACAAAACATTCAGGGGCAGAAAGTAAACTTTGGTGGAGGGATTACTCGTTGCTTACAAACGACGCAATAGTCATCATTTTTAATCGTCTTAGTTAAATGAGATCATTATGGTGGTTGTGTTAATTTTACGTCTGAACGATTCTTCGTTAGAACAATTGAGCAATGGTTTATGACGGTTAGAAAAGTGAATGCTTGTCTTGTCCTTTAGAATAGTTAATGTAATAAACACAAACCAAACAACAGTGCCAGTAAAAAGTGCGTGAAATACAGGACTCATCAGGGGTTTGCAGTAACTCAGGTGCAAGTAGAGTTAGGACATTGTCCACTGTATTTTGTGCATTATAATGCCAGCATTTGATAATCGTAGGCTATAGCACGTAGTGTAAACCTATCAGAGTGTCCTCACGGCATCTTTTGAAATGGGATAATGTGGACGCAATACTTACATGTGTCGGGGAGAGCGTTCTATGGTTGTGACACTCGGAGAGAGAAAAAGTTTCGTCGACATTCCAGTCGGCTGCATTGCGTGACTAGTTTAAACTGATGTCTCCCTTAGATACATGTTTTGATTATGCTTCAGAAGAAACGGCATGTGTGATTAGGATTGCTCAGGATCTAATACATCATTATGAGATGGCACCTTAGACGCGGATAATGTCAGCTGTATAATTTGAGTGTTTTCAGCCTGAGTAGGTAGGGAAAGTGGGACAAACCTATGACTTCCTTTGTCGCCCTGCGTTATGCAGTATCGAGCGCGGTGAGATGGTGCTTCAGCCAGGTTGCTACGCTTACACAGCATATTCCGCACGCAGCCTCACATACGCACCAAGCATTTTTGGAAAGACTGTGGCGTCAACCTTCCCGAATGCTCTAGGAAGAAGACCGAAGTGCTGGTTTGCTTTCTTTGATGTCTTTTTATTCTGCCTTAAACCACGCTGTGATCGCACTCATGAGAAGCCCGCTGTAATATTTGTGGTCATAGGCGGTAGTTGTGGCTACTCTGGTACCATATGCTGAGAACTTTGCACTTGTTGGCTTTGAAATGCAGCAAGTTCTTAATGGACCATGAGTATGCTTTATCCAGGTCATCCTGTAAGGTTGTGTGGTCCTCCACTGCAGCTAAAGCACGCCATATCTTTAGATAATCTGCAACTAACAAACTGTTTGACGTTAGCACGCTTGCGAGATCATTTATAAAGACCCGGAACAGACGTTGCTCGAATACCGAGCCTTTAGGTACGTCGCACTAAGATTCGATTGGTTCCGATAGCGTGCTGCGAACCCTCACATTCAGATGATAAGGAACGAAAAAGTCTCTAATCCAGCCCAGAGCGGGATCACCGATTCCATATTTCTGGAGTGTGTGTAGTAGAATGCAATTGTCTAGACGGTCGAATGCCTTTGAGAAATCCAGGTAGGCCGCGTCGACACATGCACCAGTGTCCAAAGATTCCATCCTACTTGCACTAGCTATCAACCGATTAGTATTGCAGGACCGATTTTTGGGAAATCCTTGCAGCTCCGGAACGAGAATTTGGTTTTTCCTCAGGTATTCCATTAAAGCCCCAGCTACAATGGACTCTATAACCTTGGAGATTACCGGAAGTAGTGTTAGCGGGCGATAATTTGCTGGTTCAGCGCATCTATCACGTTTGTAGATTGGATTGTTGAACCCGTGCTTCCAACTCGTAGCGAGGTGTATTTCTTTAAGGTATCGCTGGAAAAGAATGACTAGCGCTCCCGCTAAACTCATGACGGAAGCTTCCAATGCTTTCGAGTGAAGGCCGTCCGCACGCGGGGAGCTGAACTCGCGCAAGGACATCAGCCTATTCAATACAACTGTGGAGGCAAACGATAGGTGACTAAGTCCTGATGACGACATGACCTGTGTAGACAGGGTGTAAGATGATTGCAGCTTTTGAAGGTATGGCCAAATTGTTGTCCAAGGTAGTTGGCCGCCTCTAATGCCGTGTGTGCTACCCCGCATGCCGTGTGTAGAGCAAGAATTCCGCGCTTAACCCGGCGCGGTTTGTTAACATGTCTGTATAGCAGCTTGACATTAGAGTAAAAATTTTCCACTAGGTCTTGTCAATTCTTGAGTTTATTCTCCAGGAAGAGCTTGACATAGTTGTTCATTTGTGTTATGTAGACATCTCATGTGTCCTCTCTCGGAGATTTTATGTAGATGAGTAATTGCAAGTACCACAATGCCAAGCGTTTACGTGTCCAACTCCACACAAAAGACATCACGATTTTAGGTCGGTGTATTTTGCTTTCAGATATGCTTGCCACGAGCTTGTTGAATCTGTTGACGAATTATCCGCAGGCCACCTCTGGGGACCGTACTGTTAGGAACGATCAGCTTGATGGGGTCGGACAGCTCATCATAGTTAGTTACGACATGAGATTTCTCGGCATGCTCTTAAGATACTCCAAGTAGCACATTTAATCGAACACTACTGTCGCATGATCACTGCGGCCCAAAAGAATCCACGTTCTTATTAATTTGATCATAAGTTCCTCGTTGGTGAAAACGAGATCCGAAACGACCGGTTTGTTTCTTGTCCTGAAACTCCTTAGGGAAGTGACATGGTTATACAGCAGTCAACCAGCGATTAGGTCTTGCAGTTCCGCCTTGAACTACTTACCGACTGTGGCCGGGGATTCTAAGCATGGCAGATTGAAGTCCCCTAATAGAAGGAAGTGGCTGAACGATCGTGCAAGTAGTTGTTCATTCCAGATGGTAGGGTTAGGTCCATTTCTAAAGTAGGCATTGGTTGGCAGTATACACTGGCCACTAAATATCTATCGCCTTGCCTTAGTTGTGGGCAGCACCATAAGGAGTCAACGGTTTGAATCCCACGGTCGTGAACATGGTTGGTGAGTAGATCGAAAAGGTAATAAGAAATTATACCACCTCTCTTTGTGGCTCGGCAGTTGCGGAAGGGTGAGATACCAGGTAGTGCGATCTCGGCATCGTAACCACGTCGTTGAGCAATGTTTCCGTTGCCAAGATGAAGTTCCAACAAACAGAGTTTTGACCAAATCGAAGCACGGCCAATTTACTGAGAAGCACTTGTGCATTTGTACACAAACACCTTAATGGTATCTGGACACACACAAGTTTCCAGTGCATTTACCTTGACCATTGTGGAGCCGGGCGACAATCGTATTTTGGATCTATTTCCCGCCTACCCCCAAGGGCCCTTTCGATCTGTTGCAGAGAAAACCCACTACTTAATCCTTCGGAGACAATTTGCGGCGAAGTTTCTGTTAGTTCCTCCTTCGAACGACTGAGGAGTTGCAGTAAGATCTAGTTCGGAAATACAGACAGTCGGGCTATCGATAACTTTTCTTTGGTTTGTGTTGGCTCAGTCAATACCGACCTTGCTTCGATCGCCTTCACCCCTATTTTTGATGGCAATCTGGTGCCGATCTTTTGCCAAGTACCGAGCACACTGATAAACATTTGTTTGGAGTAAAGCAGGACCATCAACACCCGTGGATTATTTCCATTGTAGTCTGGTGACATGGGCAACCTTAACGTAGATTTGACAGTCACATCGTGGGGAGAGAGGGGTTCGTGGATATAGCGTCACTCTCCCAAGAATATGCTGGCGGACTTTCCGTATTGTCAGATAAATCAGAATGCATTGCAGTGTCATATGACACAGATACACCACTCGAGAAGACCAATCGCTGTTATCTACACACTAGTTTTGGCTTTCACCTCCCAAGTTTGCGCATACTCTTAGGCAAGTAAGTGGAGTGCGGCTGCAGCTGGTTCCGATGCGACCGCTAGATCAGCCGTTGCACGCCGCCTAATGATTGTTAATTTGTCACATTTGCCTGCCACCACGACGATGCACCTCACGAGTAAGTTGACCATACACACGGTGTAAAACCAAATGGAGTCTGGTGCGCAATGCCATGCTACTACTTTCGCTACACCCGTATTTACGCACCAGGGATGAAATTCCATTCTGCAGTTACTACAAGTTCCTGCAATTCGAATAGCATTGGAGCACAATTTTAAAACACAAATAACTTTTGTTTTCGGCTGAGTGGACCGTGTACAAATCATCTTCCTTGTTGATGTGTTGCGATTCATTGCAGAGACGTCAGTGCCGTCGGTAGGTTGCGAACTCCGAGCGTTTCGAATGGGCAACGATGTCGTTTGACAATGGGTGTGGCGGTCGTAAACAAAGCCGAGGGAGGGCAA